TTTTACAGTATCAGAATGCACGACCATTTGGTCAGAATGCAAAAGAAGTTGAACAATCAATTGGTGGTGCTACGGGTGGTTATGCAACCAATCCATTTGGTATCGAAAATGGTAATTTCGGTGATTATACGCCGACGCATAACTTTCCACATGTTTCGCAAAATCAGAATAGATTTGATGAAGTCGAAAAACAGATACCAGTTTCTGGCGTGGAACCATCTATGTCTGGACCAACTGGTCATCAATCTCAATTGGATATTCCTGAAGATGCTACTGTAGGCACCTCTGGAACCGAATATAATTCCTCACCAAAAACAGCAGAATATGAAAAGAAAATCAAGTCATATTTGAAATTACGCAAAAGTCAACTGGCATAAGCTTCAGAATTGAATTCATAATCTAGAATTTCATCTAGCTTAAAGTATTATTAATTCGAAAAAAAGGTTGATCTTTTAATTAATTTTATTTCATCCTACAAATAAATCAGCAACCTGTTGTAATCTAATTTTTTTATCAAAAAATAATTTTAATTACAAGCTTTTGTTTTATACAATTAATTTTTACCAAAAATTTGAAATCCATGCTAAATTTTTGCTACAAATGTTTCTCTTTTTTTGTTAGCTTTTTTGTTCATTGTTATTTAGGATAATTATCTTATGTAATTTGCCTGTTTGTTCGCTTACAATATCTTAGCAAATTTCATCTGTTATCTTCTGCATTCATATAATTTAATTGATAATTGTTTTAATTCAGTTTACTATAAAACTATCTTCTTATAATAAGTAATACAATCGCATGTCAAGTATAAAATCACATTTTTGAATGATTATTCCTTTTGATTCCTTTATTACAATTTCACAACAAACCATTGAAAACAATAATGTTAGCATATGAAGTAAGCATGAAATTAAAGTAAAAAAGAGTTGAATCTCTAAAATAATGTGCTTGCAAAGCACTTTTGTCTCATAGAAAATACACTGTTTTATTTTTTGAAGTGTTAAAATTTTAAGGGTAATAGGTGATAGGTGATAAGTGGTACCATTCTCATTACAAAAATCGGTGACAATTTAATCTAACACAATTGGAATTACATGATATGTTTCAACAATTGGAATTTAACAAATATATAACCTTGGAAATTATAAGAAACAAAGACTAATTCTTTTCTTTTTTTAGATAAAATCATCACATTTGCACAAAAGATGCCGCTTATTTAACAGCAACCTGAGGTCATCATTGATAGAAAGTCTATAATATAATATCAATCACTTCGTATCGGTTATTGAACTCGTTTCGAAATAAAATTTTATTATCAGTTGATTTCTTCAATGTTGCTATCATTTCAATCATTTTTGTTTAAATTTCTATAAATATTAAATTACATGCAAGAATTAAAAAATGAATTACAATAAATAAAGAATGATAATGGTGAAGGAAAATTTAGTAAAGAAAAAAAAAACATTTTACCAAACAGTTCTATCTGCTACGGATGATATTTGATTTAAGCATATTACATTGACCTGATAGTAATGTGTCGATTGATACTGTTAAACTATTTACACTTACTAAAATATTGATAAGGGAAAAATTAATTTCCGGTCTCTTTTAATTCATCAAATTGCAAAATTACTATCAAATCAGCTGGATAATATTTCGTTTCCTCTTTTTTTTTGAAATTTATAACAATTCAATTTAACGATATCACTAAAATGTTGTCAAATATGCAGAAGCACTTTTAAGAGGAAATGAATTTCATCATTTAATGGGTGATATTTTATTATTCATTACACAATCATTATTTAGAAAATTTGGGAGAATACCTTGAAATAACAATCAGTTCGTAATATTCTAAAGAAAAAATTAAAAAAAATTGAAAAAAAATTTTGATCAACGATCAAAAAGAATTCATTATATGTTTAAATCAATTTTCTTTTAAATTGCTGAAAACGACAAAATTTGAAGAATATACATGCTCATAAATCCGCCAAGAATTAAATGATATCATTAGTACTATTAAAAATTAAACCCACAATTTCATTCCATTATTTTCTTTTTCAAATTTTTAATACGTTGCAGAAGCTGGCTTTTATTATCTAACCTTTCTTGCTAACTTTTATAATCAATATCTCTCCTCTTCCACAACGATTATTAATAACTGGAATGCTATCTTTTTAATTACTATTTCTCGTTGCTAATCATGTCATATCTCCTTTCACTCTAGCCACCGTATCCATGACATCACCACAACCATTTACCGTACACCAACCATCACAATTACATCTTTACCGTAATAATCATATTTAATGATTGCATGATTCATTGCACTATAATCACTAGCTGTCTGAAATATGACTCAATTAAAACATTATGCTTGTGCTAATACATTTTTAACAAAATAATCACTTCTACTTACAGTTTTATCTTATTCTGGAGTCAGCTAATTCTTTTCACCGAAAAACAAATTTCCTGAAATGAGATATCAGTTTCAAAGAGAAGTATAGAGCAATTTATTGCAAAAATTTTAAGCAAAAAAAATAATTTACAAAGAATAAAATCAAAATTTTACTAAAAACCAAGATGAGAAACAAAAACAAAAGTAATATATTTGTAAATTATCACTTTTCCTGCAAGGTTAAATTTTCGGGAAGAAACGCTTTTTGTTTTTTTTTATACCGTAACGCAACTTTTTCACTCCTTGTATTCGACTTGTGAAATCTTTAGTTAGTTACGTTATTTTTATGTCAACTAAGTAAGTTTTTAGATGAAGGGGACTAAATATATTCCTTATTGATTTTTTTATGCTTACTTTTTTTCGAAGTAAATTAACTAAAAGAGGAAGAAATTTTGAATGAAGATAAATAGAAAAAGAAGGAGAGAGAGAAAAGGGGGTAGGAAGGGAGAGAGAGGGA